AACATGACCTCTGTGTGAAACAGAAGTATGGCGGTACTAACAGCAATTGACGGTACACAACAAAAGCAATGCCACGTTGCACGCACGATAAGAACAGGCACACCGGCAGACTCACTCTGACAGCGCCACCTCTGCTTCCATCGACTCTTCTTTGTTGAGGATGAGAATCAGAATAGGGTAGCGCGTCTGGCCCTGCCTCATGGGAGGGTCCATAGCCACCTAGGAAAGAAACACGCATGCACACACACAACAGTGGGAGGAGGAGATATTAGAGAACGACCGAGACAAATACGGATCACAGTCATGCCTTAGTGCAAACGCTGCAGTACTACCTGGAGCAAGTGTCACTTTCCTAGATCCTGTTGGCTGATAAAAATTAATATTGGTACACGAGAGCAGTATGTTTTGCATGTAGCATGTATCTGCTGATGGATGGCCAAATGCCTATAAATGGCCCGTGCATATTGTTCTACGGAGCCATGGTCTACATGCACACATAAACGTCGTGCGTACAACCAGGGTGTTGTGGTCCTGGCCTACACGAGTCCCTGATTAGAATGCAGAAACCGGCAGGAGAGCTGTTCCGTGGTCCACCTTCCACACACCCGACATAAGAACATACTAAATATTCCAACACTACAATTCATGCCAATGGGAAGGATAAGCAGCCGCCAAAAGTACAGCGTAGCAAAGAGGTCACAATGTGTGGTAGTCAGCCATTCGAAAAGTCCATTACTAAAGATAAATACCTCCTACTTCAGTAACTATAATAGTATGTTGGTAGCAAGAGTCCATGGGGTTATGAACTCTTGTTGGTACTTGGTGTGCTGTATGGCTGCTCTACTGCACATAATTCTACATGACTGTTCTCTAGTCTTGATAGTTGTAATTCCTACTGATGACACAATGAACTCAAATACATGTAAATACATTACATTTTGCAAAATATAAAATACAGTGTAGTCTGTATCACTGTATCCATACCATTCTGGCCACACAAGTCACCTAGCGGCAACAGCTACGAAACTAGATGTACAGCACATCGGCCACACTGCTTTTTCTATAAGTAATTAAGTATATCCGGCAAAACTAACAGTGTAACGTTTCAAGCTACATGGTTCAAGTGATCACTGTCCTCCGATCTGCCACTCTCAGCTGGCTGTGCTTTGGGCAGTGGTGATCCTCACTGTTGTGGACTGGTAGCATGCTCACCAAAGAAATGCCTCAAAAAAATCATTTGGCAGGATTTCTTTGTGGTTTGTGAGCGGTGGCGGAACGGAAATCTCTGTTAGATTGCCACCCGCCCAAATGCGGTCCATGGACATCATATCGGGTGAAGACAAGATGCATCGGATGCCATCTCCTGTTATCTGGTTGTTCACCAACGACACCATCTTCAATGAGCTGGTCGTCCGCTTCATGTCAACTAGCTTTTTCACTGTGTTGTCACCCAGCTTGTTGCGATCCAGGAACAAAACTTTCAGGTTCTCGTGACCAGTCAGGGCTGTGAGTAGATCCTCTGCGATGGCATCCGTCATTCCTGTCTCGCCCATGTCAACACACCGGAGGTCACAGCAAAGCGGCAATGATGACATGAATGTCATGTAGGAGTCCACACCAGTCACTCCATCCATGAAGACAGGATTACTAGTCAACGACAGGCGCTGCAATTTACCTTGTGTAGATGAAGCCACTATCGCCGCCGCTCCACTAATGCTTATACTATTCGAATCGAAATCTAGCACGTGTAAAGTTGAGTTGAACTGGAGTCCCTGCCTTGCCAATGCCTGGACACCGTCATCTTTAATAGCATTTCTAGACAGGTCAAGTTTCCTGATACTGCTGTCACCGGCAATGAATGTTCCAAGGCTCGCCATAGTTAAGTTTGATACTTTGGCGGAAAGGTTGCCTCCATATTGCGCACCGATGTCCTTCACATCTCTCTGGCAAGTACGCCCAGATGTGATAGACCAATCGGCTATAACTATCTCATCATCGCCGCAGTTACCAGCCTTCTCCAGTGCCTTCAGCAGAGACGCGTCCACATCATTTCCAGTAAGATACATGCAGCATGGTTGCTGCAATTTGTTCGGCCGTGCCTGTGCCTTGTCTGCTGATGCGGTGTTGGTGTGAACACGCCTTGCCTTCAAGAAGTTATCTATATGCGAAGTAATGCCATTGGTGAGTAGGTTACACTGAAGGTAGATACCCTCTATACTTTGATTGTGCTGTAGGGCTGACAGTATACAGGCGGCGTCCTCGTCGTTGAGGTCATTGTGGGCCAGAGCCAGGATAGTCAAATTTGGCATGGACAGTATCAGTGAAGAAAGGGCTGTACCACATCCCGTGAACAAACCAATATCCTGTGCACACAAGTGAGACATGCTCAGTAAAGGTGTTGTAATTTTTGCCTGGAGCAGTTCCAGCGAAGCGTTTCTCAAGTAATTTGTTGATACGTTTATAGCGCGGAGATGGGGCAAGTGAAGCAGCTTAGACAAGGACCCCGCGTCTTGCTCCGTTAAACATGCACCTGAAATGTACAGTTCTGCAATGGTGCAATCACGCTGCATATGTTGAGAATGGGATAGCGCTGCAGCGAAAACTTCCAGTGACGCTCCGCTCAGGTTGTTCCCATGTAGGTTCACACCAACGCATTGTCTCAGGTAAGGCGCTATCTCCGTGATCTGATCTCTAGAGAGGTTGCAGTTACTGATGTCTACAAGGTGTACTCGCTCAGACAGTCTCAACACATTGCACAAAGCTGATATGTCACTATCGTTCAGATGTATGCCTGACAAGTGAACTCCATGTGATGTTTGCAGTAGTATTACGGCGGAGCGGACGAGATCTTTACACTGATCGTCACTGGAAGACAAGACGGGAGAGCTGTTGAATGAAAGACTGCACTCCAGTAAACACGACATCAAGAACAAGGTGAAGCGGCGTTGCTGGAGCACTGACTTGTGTGTTGATTCAGCCAGCATGACTTTAAACAAGTCAGGCAGGAGCTTAGTGTGAATAGAACCAGCAACAAAACGCCAGAATGGCTGCGTTTCCTCACCCAAGCCAATTTCCGAGACGTATTGTGAAATATTCGAGACGAAGAAGGACTGCTGCGTTGCGAAACTACGTGCTGCACAGAACTCTTGTATGGTAAGGTGAAGAAAGGCAACGCGTCGCCGAGCACTGCCACTGGCTGATGACTGGTTGTCCACAGGGACGAGGAATCCTAGTTGCTTACACAGTGTCAAACAGTCATCCGGCATATCTGAGGATGAAAACCAAGCACAACCCAAAAGTAAGCTTTCCATGGACAAACGATACAGATGGCACAATGCTTGCACCAACTCTGCGCCATCACATACGGAACCAGTAGGCTCTTGCTGAACGTGATGCTCCAGGCCGTTGATAATGACATCATGCACTGATAATTGATCTCCGGCCTGGAATTCCCCACTGTACGTATGACCACTGGTTGGAGTCTGGCCGAGTGTCACTTTGCCGAACTGTTTTCCGCGCTTCCTCTCTAGTTCTGCAACAGCTGAACACATGAACTGCACATAGAATGATGTCGTAGACGGCGGTACAGCCTCGGATACGGCAAACTCTTGGCAAAGGAGAGCGGCCAGCAGTGGTGTAGTCTGCACGGCATGCTTCAGGTGCTTGCGAGATGGTTGCGCTAACTCAGCCAAGCACTTTTCAGCACTCTCCGCGCCGCCCAACTGTTGGCAGCAGAAGTCCCGTAATTGTGCATCGGTGAAGCCGGTCAGCCGGAAGTAGGCTGCACATTGTCGTACCAGATCAGTGGCCTTGTCGCAGGGCCGGCTAGTGACAACCACGGACGCATTCACCAGCCGATTTTTCTTAGTCTCGTCCATGAATTGGCAGGCTGCTGATGTGTACTGGAATGCATCCCTCCCGCCTTCATCCACGCCATCTAGAAGCAGGAGAACACGTTCAGAGTTCGCTGACAAATATCGCAAAACCTCTTCTCGCTCGTCCGAAGTTATGTCCAGGGCGTGGTGATCCAACCCCAGAAACTCTGTCCACACACTGGTGCTAACACGGTCTGTATCTCGGCACGAGATTGGAATGACAAAGTCAAAGTGCTCTTGCGTTAGACCAGGTGCTTCATCGTCTGAATAGTCGGCCATCACACGTCGACATGCCATTGTCTTGCCTTTACCAGCACCAGACATCAACATGCAACGCTTCAACAACTTCACTTTCTGGCCAGACGACGACGCACCTCTGCTATTACTACTTGCACTGCGCGCCGGTTGTGCGCCGGATTTGGGATCTTTCATCAGTAGCTGCAATGGATTGTGGAGTTCAAAACTGCATTTGCTGTCATCCGCAAGGTCGGCAAGGAATGCTGATGCTGAGGGACCGGGCTGTGCTCTGTTGCCCTTGCTTCGCTGAACAGACAGACGCAGTGCTTCGCGTTCAGTCATCGCCGTCATCGATACAAATGTATCCTCCACACTTTCTTGTGTAGGTGCCATGCTTGCGTGCCGTGATTGCACTTCGCACTGCTTCTTCAAGTGTATTTTATAACGCTCAATGGGGCTTTTATCACCGTGGTATCTGCCTTTCAGAATCGTATTCTCTATCCAGGCCATTGCGTCAGTATATGGTATACGAGGCCGGGCTAGATCGCACTTACTAGCCGTTTCTTCACATTCCTCTGCTATGCAGCGCTCACGCTCTTTCTGCAGCACTTCGGCCATTGCTGGCTGCTCCACGGCCAGCACTGCCTTGCAGAACGCATCGAAAACGTTTTCCGACTGGAAACTATCGCTGGTCTTCTTGGCAACAAGTAGTCTGAGAATCTCGCTGACCTGCTGATACTGGGTCGAATGTTGTTTGATTTCCACGTACTCACGAGTGCCTTCGAACACACCAGCATTGACCAGGTGATCGAAGACCAGCATTACATCGGCATGAAGAACGCGCTGCAGTTCCTTCTCGCGGAACTGTAGTGCCAGGATCTCGTACCACTGGAGGTGTTCAGAAGATCCCGAGGTCTGAACCAACGACTATGTCACATGCATGGTTGCGCTGTACTGCTACGCACCGGCTTCTAGTATGCTTGCATTCATGGTAGCATTGACTGTAGACCTGAGCGGTCACGTGCATGCTTCTGTCTCGCGAGTTCCCGGATGCATGCACCGGAGCTTGCGCCGCGCTGTGCTGCGCTGCTTTTGTTTAGTTCCTGGTTGTTGGACTTTTAGTAGTGTTTTAGACTAGTTGGTGTGAACAGTTGCTTTTCGGAGTTCATGTAGAAAGTTCAAGGTTATTGTTTCTTCGAATCGCTTTCCGTTGTGCACGAATGTGGAATGTGTCACTGTGTGAGTGTGCGTTCCCTTTAGTGAGCTTTTCTTAGTAACAGAAAATTGGTAGCAGAGGATGGTTGCTAAAAGGAATTAGCTCAGCAGATTGATTGTGATAGTGTTCGCGTTGCGATTTGTAGCAGTGCGTCTCGAACCTGGAATAGGGTGCGGATAATGGCATCGTCGGAACCCACGACCTTGGAGTATGCTGCGGAGCCGAGTGCTCAGGGAGAATTGGAGGACGACTATGAAGAAAGGCCAAATTCGGGCCGCCGTCGCTCCTCAACTCCAGAGCGAGAGGAAGCAGCTGGGGATCGTGGAGTGGGCCTAAACTCAGCGCAAGTGGAGAGCGAACTGAGAGTGAGAAAGGCCGCCATCAAAGGGCAGTTCACGAGAGCGAGACGAGGCTTGCTAGTGCAGCTAAATGCCGATGGTCCATGCGACATCGAAGGGATCTCGCAACATCTGGAAGGCCTGACGGCACTGTACGATGGAGCTACTAGTTTGTTGGCAGACATGATCGGCAGCTGCCAAGACGTTCGCCAGCGGAATAAACTGGCAAGTGAGTTGGAAGCACTGGAGACTCAATTTTCGGCGGCCATGGACCGAGCGCAAGCCAAGATCGATGTCAACAAACTGAGCGAAGCCCATCCGCAGTCACCGTCACAAGGCCGAACGGACATCATCTCGTCTCCTCATGAGGACACAGTATACACACTGTCTGGGAGTCAGCGTGGGAACCCGACAGAGACTGTCGGCGGCAAGACCATTGTTCCTGTAAGTACAAGCACTCAGGTCGGTACTAGGACACTTGACGCGACAGGTAGAGCTAGTGCAATGTCGTACACCAGCATCAGTGATCTGTCACTGTCAAGTGTGAGCGCCAGCCCTGTTCAGTCTGTACATGACACTGTACTGCCTACCTCAGCACCAGTGACAACCATCAATGGCATCACAGGTAGCAGCAGCCTCACTGCAGCCACTACCTTGACCACTGGCACTAGCATGACTAGACCACTTGCCTCACTGGCTGCACCCAGGAGTGGTACTACCAGGCAGCCATCCACCAGTCAAGCTGTGGCCAGCAGCCAGCCTGCATTCAGTAGCAGCAGACTGAATGCAGGGGCAAGTGTGTATGTGCCATCTGCACCATCTGCACTGCCTGCTGCCAGTAAAGCCTGGCCAGGTGGCGCAACCAGTCCTTGGACACACATGCAGCGCATTGAGATCCCCACATTTGCAGGCGATAAACGTAGTTTCGAGGCCTGGTGGGCTGCGTTCTCAGCGTGCGTGGACAAATCGCCAGTGTCACCAGAGTGCAAGATGCTCAGGCTGCGGCAATATCTGAGTGGCGAGCCACTGCGGACTATCAAGAGTCTCGGGTACACTGCTGCGTCCTATGAAGCTGCCAAGGACATGCTCACAAGGAAGTATGGCGGCGAGCGTCGTCGTCTGGCAATCCAGCTTGAGGAGATTGAGGAAATGCGGCCAATCCGAGAAGGAAAGCCACGGGAGCTGCAGCAGTTCGCTGAGTTGCTGATGGTAGCAACTGTCCAGCTCAAGGAGGCAGGACGACATGCGGAGCTGTTGGTCGGCACGCTCTATCACTCCCTGATGAAGAAGCTGGATGAACGGATCATAGCGCGCTATCATCGCTGGCGATATGACCATAATAGATCAGAGAGTGTAGAGTGCCTGTTGGAATTTGTTACCCTGGAAGCCGAGCTCCTGGTGACGGCGGCAGAGACGGTATCAGGTTTCAACACAGCGGCAAAAGCAGACCAGCCCCGCAGCTCGCAGGATCATCGTGCAAGAACGCTGCTTACCGGTACTCGCAACAAGTCATCTCCAAGCAAGTGCCCAGCCTGCCAAAGCCAACACCCAGTCTGGAGGTGCCTGGTATTTAAGTCGGCCACGCTAGATGAACGATGGCGCATTGCCAAGGCCAGCAACCTGTGCTTTCGGTGCCTGGGCGCTGGACACCGTGGGCAAGAATGCACTTGGGGGGACGCGTGTGGCATAAGTGGTTGCAGCAAAAGTCACCATCGGCTGCTGCATAACGCGGAGAAGACGTCGTCAGCCTCGGGCACTGACACAGCATCCGAAGACAGCAAGCCTACGGTACGCCAGACGCTCGCAACATCAGTAGAGGGCAAACAGCAGCGTTCACGAACAACAAGCAACAGCAGGCAGTCGGAACCAGCGATGTCCCTAGTCACGTGTCAGACTACAGATGACAGCAAGGCATTATCAACAGCTTCCAAAGCGTCCAAGCTCATCGCCGTGTCCATGAGAACGGTGCCAGTGAAACTCAGGTCTGGTGGGAAAGAAGTGCTTGTTAATGCACTGCTGGACGACGCAAGCACGGACTCATACGTAAGTTCGCATGTGGCATGTGAGCTTGGTCTAACGGGAGAAAGACAACACCTGCCGGTGAAAGTGCTCAGCGGTCGTACTGAGGTGTTCTCAACAACACATGTGACGGTTCAGCTCTGCAGTGTGGACGGAGAGACATCGGCGACGCTGGACGCATTCACAACCGACTCAATCCTCGGCAGTGACAATGCAGTGGATTGGGTGCACAAGCGCCGTGATTGGGCACACCTCCGCAACATTCCATTCCCAGCACTGCCGAACCGTCGACAGGTAGATGTGTTACTCGGCCTTGATGCAGTACAGCTTCAAGCAGCCATACGAGAAGTCCATGGGCAACCTGGAGAGCCGATTGCTCGCCTGACCCCCCTTGGATGGACCTGCGTCGGCAGGATTGGCAAGGTCAAGGCAGACCCGGTAACCTGTCTTACACGGGCTGCGCCACACGACGTTCGGGAAAGTATTGCGCGGCTATGGGCCATTGAAGAGTTTGGCCAGGCTCAACCGCAGCAGCCCACTCTTTCTGTGGAGGAGAAGGAAGCGATGCAGGCTGCCAGAGAGTCCATGCAGTGGATCGCCGATGGACGGTACCAGGTCGGCATCCCATGGCGTGCTGGTCGGCCAACACTACCTGACAATTTCGCGGCTGCACTGAAGCGTCTGCAAAGCACGGAACGACGCCTAAGCCAGGATGCAGCAGCAGCTACAGCTTATAGCAACATCGTACTGGATTACGTCAAGAAAGGGTATGTGCGAGAGGTCAGTAGCAGCGAGCTCAAGCATGGTCAACAATGGTTCCTGCCGCACTTCGCAGTCCTGAGACCGGATAAAGCTACGACGAAGACCCGGATGGTCTTTGATGCATCAGCAAAGTGCAAAGGCATTGCACTCAACGATACCATGCTGCCAGGGCCGAAACTGCAACGCCAGCTGCCGAACGTGCTGACCCGCTTCCGGCACAAACCAGTAGGAATCATCTGCGATATCGCCGAGATGTACCTTCAGGTTCATCTCAGTCCAGAGGACCGTCCCTACCACCGATTCCTGTGGCGAGGCATGGAGCCAACAGCTGAGCCACGTGTGTACGAATTCGAAAGACTCGTGTTCGGCGCCAACGCCTCGCCGTTCTTGGCTCAGTTCGTCTATCAAGAACATGCCCGAACAAACCGCCACAAGTACCCATTAGCAGCGGAAACTATGCTTCACTCAACGTACATGGACGACTCCATGGACTCGGCCACAGATCCCAACGAAGGTGTGGAAATGTATGAGCAGCTGTCAGCGTGCTGGAAAGAAGCCGGAATGCATGCCAGAAAATGGCTCTCCAACTCAAAGGTGGTCATGGAGAAAGTGCCTCAGCAAGATCGTGCCAGCCAGATCGACGTGAGCTGCCCAGAGCTGCCAAGTGTCAAGACGCTGGGACTGCTCTGGTCGGCCGCAACAGATAGCTTTACGTTCAAGCCGAACGTACCAGACCTGTCGAAACAAGTCACCAAGCGATCGTTCCTGAGCGCAACGGCAAGCGTATTTGACCCGCTTGGATTCGTAGGCCCCTATGTAGTGAGCGCTCGGCAGCTGATTCAAGACATGTGGCTTCTGGCGTTGGATTGGGATGAACCGCTTCCGGATGTCCTAAGCCAGCGGGTTACGGGTTGGTACGCAGACCTAGCCGAGCTATCTCACCTCTCGATCCCACGCTGTTTGCAGGCAGTTGAGGCAGGCAGCCCTACCAGCAGGCAAATCCATGTGTTCACCGACGCCTCAGAAACCGCTTATGGTGCGGTCAGCTATCTCCGTTGTGTGTATGATGATGGCCATGTGTCTACTGCTCTCATCGCTAGTAGAGCCCGTGTAGCCCCGCTTGCAGCCATATCGATTCCGAGACTAGAGCTGCTAGCTGCAGTCATGGGCATGCAGTTGGCTATCTGGTCATCCGATGTCCTCAGTCTACCAGCAAGTGAAGCAACCATTTGGACAGACAGTCTGAATGTGCTGTACTGGATCCGGAACCGTGCGCGGAGCTTCAAGCCGTTCATTGCAACACGCATCGGAGAGATTCAGCAGAGCACCAGTCCCAGTCAGTGGCGTCATGTGCCGACTAAAGTGAACCCGGCGGATGTTCTCTCCCGAGGTTCGTCAGCCCAGGCTCTGATCCATAACGAACTCTGGTGGTCGGCGCCGGACTTTCTCCGCAAAGAGGAAGTAGAATGGCCAGCGCAGCAGCTTCAAGAGCCAAAGTCTACCGTCAACTTGGAAAAGAAGAGTGCAGACCCGTCGGGGCAGGCACCAGTCGTGCTAGCTACAGTGGCGGCTGAGGCCGAGGCACCTTGGAGCTTGAATCCAACAAGGTTTTCTGACATCAACCGTCTCGTACGACGCCGAGCATGGGTGATGCGTTTTGTGCAGAACTGCTCCAAGCCAATGGAGCTCCGTGAGACTGGCCCATTGTCCTCTGACGAGCTTGCGAGCAGCCGAGCTAGTGTGATTGCGGCAGCACAAGAAGAGTCATTGGAAGAGTACCGCTTGGTGAGAGATGGAAAGCCTATCCCAGCATCAAGTAAGCTTGCGAAGTTACGACCAATGCTGAATGATGATCGACTGCTGTGTGTTGACAGCCGTCTCCGAAATGCCGCGATCCTGGACGAGCAAGCCAGATGTCCTGTGATTCTGCCGCGCGGACACTGGGTTACCCAGCTCATTGTCAAGGAGGCTCATGAGAAGAACCGTCATGCTGGTGGCATAAGTCATACGCTGTCTGATCTGTCACAGAAGTATTGGCTTCTTGCTGGGCGAGAGGAAATAAAGGCATGGGAGAAGAAGTGTGCTCACTGTCAACGGCAGGCCGCGAAGCCAGGCACACAGATAATGGCGCCACTACCCACCGTCCGTGTGTCATTGCCGCTGAGAGCATTCTCGCGTGTCGCGGTGGACTACGCCAGACCTTTCACAACCAAGCAGGGACGCGGAAAACCTCGGGCGAAGAGATACCTCTGCCTATTCACCTGCCTTCAGTCCCGGGCTGTTCATTTGGAAATGGCAACAAGTCTCGATGTCGACGGATTCATGAATGCTTTCTTGAGGATGACCAACCGGCGCGGCGTTCCGATACAGGTCGTCTCCGATAACGGCACCAACTTCGTCGGAGCCGCCAACGAGATGAAGAAGCTTCTGAAGGCAATGGAGGGAGATGTGCAGCGTCGAGCAGCGGACAAAGGCATCAAGTGGTCATTTAACCCGCCGGCTGCTCCACACTTTGGTGGCGTACACGAGGCACTAGTGAAATCTGCAAAGCGTGCCATCTTCGCCATCCTAGCAGGTGCGGAAGTGAATGATGAAGAATTGGCGACTGCAATCACCGGCGCAGAGGCGTTACTGAATTCACGACCACTTACCTACCAGTCAGCAGATGCCAGAGATTTGCTGCCGTTGACCAATCATTTCCTTTATGGACACCAGGGCCAGCCATTCGTACCAAAGGGCACCGACATTGTGCCGCACAGCCACCGTTATCGCTGGCGAGTTGTCCAGAGTTTGGTCCTACAAGTATGGAAGCGCTGGATGACCGAGCTATTGCCACTTCTCCACACTCGTGCAAAGTGGCGGCAGCCGCAACCAGACATCGCTGTGAACGATGTTGTGCTGGTTGTCAACACAGGAACACCCAGAGGTAAATGGAAGCTGGGACGTGTGGAGGAGGTCTACCCTGGCGTTGATGGACGGGTCCGAGTCGCGAAGGTCAAAGTTGGTGACACATCGTTGGTCCGTCCCATCGCTCAGATGTGCAAGCTTAGCTCGGAATAACGGTCAGAAGAGTGTATGATGAACATGTCCGGTAACAAAGCTGAGAGTAATTAAATAGTGTCTGAGTGACTGCAAGTGGGTGCGTATAACATCGCATTGCTTTGCCTACGTGACATTATCGGATAGTTAATAACGCTATGCACATGTATGCATAGGGTGTATATTATTCTGGAGACTGCGCACTACAGCTGCTGTCATCACTATGTTTTTAGTATCCGGTGTGAGGCACCGTAAATGGCTAAATTGTAGCGTTTCACTATGTTTCATCATTATTGCGAGTGCATGTGTTACGGCTATGATTTACGCATGTCGTTGTATTTGGTTCTTGTCTTGTGGAGTCCAGTGTCTGATGTCATATGGTCTAGGTGTACGCGCGAGTATGGTGTGATGTGTGACGTTTATGGTATGTGGTGCATGCAGGAGTACGCGTTGTCAGAGTGTGAGGATGTGCTTCCGTCTGTGTGAGAGTGACTGTCAAGTGAATGCAGTACATGCGCAGTGCTAGTTTGGTCTGGGAATGAGAGTCGTGTGTGATTCGTCCGTGGTCTGGTTGTCTTGGTCTTGGTCATGTGTTCTGTACGTATTAGTCCCTGATTGGTCGTCACGATTTGTCCTCGGTTTATTACTGCTTGTTCTTTGTTGGTCCTCTGAGTCTTTTCCCGGGAGTCTTTCCTGTTGTCCTTCCTGTCGTCTCCAAGTTTCGTCTTTCTCCTCCTGTGCCCTTTCCGTTTGTATAAGAAGTCAGAAACTCCACCAAGTTGTTTGAGCTGTTGTGTGACACGGGGGCCAGGGGGAGAAGGCAATACCATTTCCGTTACAGTGGCGCCCAACGTTCGCTCGACGCAGGGTACTGCCTCCGCAGCCCACGGCCCTGGGATCGTTTTGTTTTCGCCGTGGCTTCAATTCGTGCTCGCCGTTTCGAAATATATGTTATTTCTCTCGTCGACCAACTCACTTCACCGAGATTGCTACTACGGCCATGGAGATGGAAAGGCGTTCGCCAGCCTGGCCTGCAGGCCCCTTACCCGGTGAGTCGCTACCAGTAAAGGGTTTGGTGTTTGCAGTGTGCGTATATTTGCTGTCAGTGCGCGAGGGGATAGTTGTGTAACTGTTTGGTTTCCTGTGATGGTTTGTAGGATTCTCGTTTCGGATCCAGGTTGAATTTTTTTTTTTGTGAGCGTATGGTTTTGTAATTATTGTGTTTCGGCATATGGGTTTCTCTAGTTCGTTTGGGTGGGCGTCTGATCATGGTGAGCCACGGTCTGCCTGGTGGTCTGCAGGGATCCTGTGTTTTGTTGTATCGGTTTGCCTTGCGGGTGTTATGGGTTCCGTGTGTTGTTGGTTGGCCCTTGCGCGCCCCAGTCGGTCCCTGCCAGTTTTTTTTTTCTCGTTTTTTTGCGAAGCGGATGTAGTTCCGTGTTTTTCAGGTTCAATCCCTGTGGTTTTTTCAGGTTCAATCCCTGTGGTTTTTTTCTCTATAATATTATTTGCGTAATGGCGGCCATAGTAATTTGTTTCGTCTATACTGTCCTCACTGTTGGTTTAACCCTACATGCCTGCTGTTCCTATGTTTACCATGTACTGATCGAATGCTCTTGTACCTGTGTTTCGTTTTTTGCCCTGCTTGGCGCACCATACCTGGAACAACAACGGACTGGCCAAGCCGTACAAGCTTGCCATACGGTCGTTCGTCAGGCTCACAACTACCCGACAACCAAGGGACCTACTGTTTCTTTTCTCTGATGTTTGTCATTTGTTCTGCCTGTTCTTTATTTTCCCTGAGTCGAGAGTCGAGGTCGACTCTCCCCAAAAGAGAGGGCTATGTTACGGCTATGATTTACGCATGTCGTTGTATTTGGTTCTTGTCTTGTGGAGTCCAGTGTCTGATGTCATATGGTCTAGGTGTACGCGCGAGTATGGTGTGATGTGTGACGTTTATGGTATGTGGTGCATGCAGGAGTACGCGTTGTCAGAGTGTGAGGATGTGCTTCCGTCTGTGTGAGAGTGACTGTCAAGTGAATGCAGTACATGCGCAGTGCTAGTTTGGTCTGGGAATGAGAGTCGTGTGTGATTCGTCCGTGGTCTGGTTGTCTTGGTCTTGGTCATGTGTTCTGTACGTATTAGTCCCTGATTGGTCGTCACGATTTGTCCTCGGTTTATTACTGCTTGTTCTTTGTTGGTCCTCTGAGTCTTTTCCCGGGAGTCTTTCCTGTTGTCCTTCCTGTCGTCTCCAAGTTTCGTCTTTCTCCTCCTGTGCCCTTTCCGTTTGTATAAGAAGTCAGAAACTCCACCAAGTTGTTTGAGCTGTTGTGTGACACGGGGGCCAGGGGGAGAAGGCAATACCATTTCCGTTACACATGTGTTAGTGGCTGATTAATCTACGTTCAATCAGGGTAGGGGAGAATGTTCAGAAGATCCCGAGGTCTGAACCAACGACTATGTCACATGCATGGTTGCGCTGTACTGCTACGCACCGGCTTCTAGTAGGCACTTCACCCCATTTTTTGAAATCGCGTTTTTTCCAGGTTTATCATCGGCAATCGATGGTGGTGGGTATCACAAGGTCACACAGAAAATTTTATTGAAATCCACAGTGATACCACTCAGATATGAAGGGTTGAAGATAGGGAGTTGGATGAGGCGAGATCAATACAATTTGTGGCACCAACAGCATCTCCGAAGTATCATCAGTGGATATAGTCACAAAACATCAGAGTGTTTTTTTCAAGCACACATCACTCACTTACACCGACAACCCTGTATGGATCGAAACAATACAGATCAAAGTTCAGAATAGGCAAGAATACGGCAATTGTGACCGCAATCACTATAGCAACTCCATAGCAACCCATAGCAACGCCATAGTAACCCATAGTAACAGCTTCAGTTTGCTGTGAAATGAACTGAAAACGACATACTGGCAGGCTCCAGCGGGTACAAAAGCGTAAGAGTTATAAAGACATTCTTCTGGCACAAAAACAACAGAGAACTTCCTCGTTGTACGCCGGACACCGCAACGTGGAGGGTATGTACGCGCGCGCGCGCGAATTACTGCACAGGACATTCGTGCTCACAGTCATGCCACTTCAAGTGACTCCAAGTTGGCAAGAAGTTCTTCAGGACCTCTGTTGGTAGCTTCTTTCCATGGTGTGATATCTGCCTCCCTATCCTTCAACTGCTCCATGCAGCAGTCATGAATTGCCTGCTGGTGAGCTTTGAAATTTTGGTGAAGCGTGCCTGGCTGCGTATATCAAAGCATCCCCTCATCAGAGGGTTTCTCCAGCAGCCACTGTGCCTTTTGATTGTTCGTAAACATCAGTAGGCCTTCCAGCGCAACCGTGTCAAAACTTGGCTTTCAGTACGCTTTGAGAATTCGCCCAGGTAGGACGACGCATCGTCGTTCTCCTCCGCCTAAAGCGCATACTTCTCAGTGCCTACGTACATAATGTCTCCTTGCGCAGCGATGCGCAAACCCTGGTAAACAAGAACTCTACTGTTTCCGAATGGAAAGACGACGCTGAAGACGATAAGCAACGTTTCAAACGCGAGCAAACAACAGTTCTTTGTGAAAAAACTCTTTGTTGGTTGTGTACGTGATCTACAACTCGCAAAAATGTACGCACTATGACGTATGCGGGATCTACTGAAAGCTGAACGTCAGAGCAACACGATGCGCCCAACTATCAGCCCGTACAACGAAGCATAGTGCGTACCTGTACAGTTTAGCGCATGCACTTGACTGGTGCCACGCAAGTACGCACTCTCACCTCAGCAAATTTTGACAGGTTCTGTCACGTGACTGAAGTGCCTACTTCTAGTATGCTTGCATTCATGGTAGCATTGACTGTAGACCTGAGCGGTCACGTGCATGCTTCTGTCTCGCGAGTTCCCGGATGCATGCACCGGAGCTTGCGTCGCGCTGTGCTGCGCTGCTTTTGTTTAGTTCCTGGTTGTTGGACTTTTAGTAGTGTTTTAGACTAGTTGGTGTGAACAGTTGCTTTTCGGAGTTCATGTAGAAAGTTCAAGGTTATTGTTTCTTCGAATCGCTTTCCGTTGTGCACGAATGTGGAATGTGTCACTGTGTGAGTGTGCGTTCCCTTTAGTGAGCTTTTCTTAGTAACAGGAGGATTTCCTTGCGCACCTCCTCCATTTCGAGGCGTGTTCGCTTCTTTTGGCGCCACCTCTGTATCGTAGCCAACTGTGTGGGAGTTCGTGCAATCAGGGCTGACTCACATGGTAGCCAAGCTAGTTCGATAAACTCACCAACACACTAACAGTAATAAGTAACCTGGTAACACTAGCAGTTGCAGTAGTCGGAAAACAGTCCGGGTGGACATATAATAGCAGATTGTGAACGTCGATCAGAACGATTTCAGACTGCGGACCCACTCCCCATACATCGCACACTCGGCGACCAATGCAAACAACTGCTAGCCGTGGCCAAGATCCACACGGACGCATATATAGGCATAGCGACAGGTGGACTGTCTAATGGTTATCCAGTACTAATAGGTCTGTACTGTACTAGTAGTAGTAGTACCAAGACTGCAAGAGTACATAACCATAATTATAAGTTATTTTAACTTATAACCCAGGCAGTAGACCTACTAGTACTACTAGTACTAGTACAGTAGTACTAGTAGTACTAGTAGTAGTAGCACTACTACTACAGTCCATTCATAAAAAAATGGGTCCTGGCTCTGGCGAGCTCCCGTATTTGGCGATTTTTCGTGATTTCATCGTACACAGTGCAGTGCTGCGAACTTTGAAATTTGAAAAAGGGTCCAAAAAGGGTGCCTGAACTGGGGTTCGAACCGCAGAATGCACTGTTGCAGGCGGGGTCAAACGGCCTGGATTTTGATGGTTTTTCCCAATTCAGTGCTTTTGGGGCAAAACCTGGCCGAAATCCTATTCTTGCTATGGCTTGCTTTTTGGACAAAAAAACTTCAGAAACATAATTGGAAGAGGATTCCATATGGGATTGCAGAAAAAAATTCTAAAAAAACTCAACGTTTGACCCATTTATGGCCAAAAGCTAGAAGTTCATTTTTTTCTGAATGGACTGTAGTACTGAGTACTAGTAGTAGTAGGTCTACCATGGTGTACGTACAAGACAAGCTAAGCAGAGGACTCCTGCATGACTAGACTGTACAATGCACATGACTCATGAGTCATCTGGTCATGACGTCGGGTAGATCTACAGACTGCCTAGTACCAAGAGTACATAAACCTTTTTTTATGTACTCTTGCTAGTACTAGTAGTAGCAAGAGTACATAAACCTTTATGTACTCTTGGTAGTAGTAGTACCTACCGCAGTGTTCGGCGCCGCCAGACATGGATAGTCCAGACCATACCAGGGAGTCGTATACGACTCCCTGGTCCAGACTAGTCTGCGAGTCCGTCCTCAAAACTGACAAAAGAGTCATTCAGCTCAGATGCGGCGAGCTGGACGTGCAACGGAGGGAAAGAGTGCGGTTGGACAAAGAGGCATGGTGGGTGTGGGGTGCGTCACCCCGAGCGTTTTATTTGGCATGTGCCGAGTGGCATCACCATGTACGGCCCTGGTGCTGGAGTAGAGAGACCTTCAACAAGCAGCTATGGCATAAGAACGGGCAACAATGGTAGTCCTGGCCTGCACTGGACAAGTCAAGACGATGTGAAGTCATGCTTGCACGGGGTTTCCCCTACATTGCAATCAGGACATGGATTGAGTGAGTCAGTTCAGTATGATAATTATGTAGTAGACCTACGACCAAGACTAAGAGTACATAACCAAGAGAACATAACCAAGAGTACATAACCACTACTCTTGCTACGACGTGTACTGAGTCGGAACATACCAGGGAGTCGTAAAACATCATAATTACGGAGGATTAGCAAGACGAAATTCGCGTTCGCGTTCGTAAACATTTCAGTTCGCGAACTGCATTGCGAACTTTCGCATTTTTCGTTCGGAAAAGTAGTCGGAACACCAATCGCGGATTCGTGTCAGGGCAGTCATAAATTTACCACGCTAGACAATAGTCCTTATGCACATTGTACAGATGTACGAAGTTCTGTACTATGGCCGTAGGTGTGTACATACCCGGTTGCCGGGTTGGGTGTTCATTGTGTGCTATACATGCGCGTTTGACCCATTTAGCCTCACAATTCATGGCAAACGATCACTTTTCAAGCCTTCTTCACTTTGGGATTGAACTAACGACTAGCTAGATCTCTGCCGGAAAAAGATTTCGTATGAAATGCCTTCATGGCCCATTTCATAGTGGAAATAGCAGTAAACACAATAGGGTCCTGCACATTCAACACCCAACCGGGTCTACGGGATTCTACAAGATTATACGGGATTTCGTGCATCTGTACAATGTGCATAAGGCCTATGTACGTCGTGTCAACGTCATGCATGGTGCCATGTGACCATGGTGAGCACTACTGTGTGGCACCGACTTACTCTTCCTAGCACATTTTTAAAATATATTCTGAAAGCTGACAGTGACACAGATTGTAGTTTTCACATTCCTATTGTACCTGCAGCATGCCGACTGTGTAGCTAGTACACATAGATCTACCAATGGCTTACCTTGAACGAAGAAGCCCCGACCACGCACGCATGTACGCCCGCACGCACGCACGCTCGCACCCACACACACACACACACACACACACACACACACACACACAGGCCAAAGCAACACTCTTCTCTCTGCTAACCAAGCCTACGCCCGGTAAACCCTGCACGTATCCAACAAAAATAAAGCAGAGCACTGGGTCTTGACTTCCGAGTATCCATGGTTACAAACTTACAATCCAGTATCCAGCAGCTGCATACATGTACTACAGTATGGACAGATGTTATTGGTTGACAGCATGTAACAAGGTGGAGACCACTGTGTTCGGAAACAGTGACCTTTCTACAACCATCCACGGTTGGTTGAGCCCCGGTCAGTTGCGACCATCTGAACCGTATGGATGTTAGACCCGCTTCTGACCCTCTGTATTCTAGAGGAGTTGTCTTAGTTTTCTTGTTGTTGTACCGTCAGTCGTGTATTCTTTGTTCGCTCCTGGATGTCATCCCAAACCGGGTCTAACATCCATACGGTTCAGATGGTCGCAACAGACCGGGGCTCTACCAACCACGGAGGTTGTAGCAAGATCACTGTTTCGAAACACAGTGGTCTCCACCTTGTGTGTACATGCTGTCAACCAACGACATGTTTCAACAGAACAAGGTTAAAGGGGAAGTTAAGGCAAAAAATAAAATTTCACCAGTTGTAGTCTTTGGGGTGCTGAGTCGAATGGTCTTGGTCCGAGGAAGCTGAGACGCTCCCTTCCTACTTGAATCCCAATCGAACTCGCGCACTTCCACCGAAACTGGGTGACTGCGCCCTACTAGATGGGGATTTGTATGCAAAATGTCACTAAAAGCGCCATTTCGTTCTTATAAAAGCACGGATGACCGCGATTGGCCCATATGTTGTAGTCTTTTGGACGCTGAGTCGACTGGTTTTGGTCCGAAAAGGCTGCGATGCAGCGTTCCTCCTTTATTCCCAATCGAACATGGTTGAACAAGCGGTCACGTGCTCCTGGGTGCCCAAATCACCTGGTCACAACGCCAGCAGGCGACAACTTTCACACCAAGGTTCAACTCGAGTGACATGAATGCACCCAAAAAAGGTCAAACAGGCTAGTAAGTTGTACCCTGCAGGCACGGTGACCAGGTGACTGGTGTACGCAGGGGCACGTGACCGCTTGTTCAACCATGTTCGATTGGGAATAAAGGAGGAACGCTGCATCGCAGCCTTTTCGGACCAAAACCAGTCGACTCAGCGTCCAAAAGACTACAACATATGGGCCAATCGCGGTCATCCGTGCTTTTATAAGAACGAAAGGGCGCTTTTAGTGACATTTTGCATACAAATCCCCATCTAGTAGGGCGCAGTCACCCAGTTTCGGTGGAAGTGCGCGAGTTCGATTGGGATTCAAGTAGGAAGGGAGCGTCTCAGCTTTCTCGGACCAAGACCATTCGACTCAGCACCCCGAAGACTACAACTGGTGAAATTTTAATTTTTGCCTTAACTTCCCCTTTAATCAAGGTTAATCTGATACTTAATCTGCGGACAGAACTGTTTCCTAATATGTATGGACAGAGTACAATGCAAATATGTATGCCACAGAGTACAATGAAGCAAACATGCTCCTGCTCTTGTAGCAGTTGAGCACTCTTGCGTGGGGTAGTGCCTTTGCTGTTTGCGTTATGCAGAGCTCACTGACTTGTCAGTTTGAGCACTCTGGCAAGGTACGTTCGGGCCTGATTGGAAATTTTTATTTCCATTGCTATCAGGTTCGGCCTCATTTTCTCTGTGCTGCGCTGATGAGTTCAAAAAGAACGAAACAGCATGCTGTCCGCAGATTGAGTATTTCGCTCCTGCTCTTGTAGCAGTTGAGCACTCTTGCGTGGGGTAGTGCCTTTGCTGTTTGCGTTATGCAGAGCTCACTGACTTGTCAGTTTGAGCACTCTGGCAAGGTACGTTCGGGCCTGATTGGAAATTTTTATTTCCATTGCTATCAGGTTCGGCCTCATTTTCTCTGTGCTGCGCTGATGAGTTCAAAAAGAACGAAACAACATGCTGTCCGCAGATTGAGTATAATTATTTTATATAATTATTAGC